GTCAACAAGGGCCACTAGCTCAGATAAAAACACACACCAGGTTCATGTCCTTTTAGTTATATTTCTAAATTCAGAAAAGTTAATTCAGGTAACATTTCAAATACAAGTTGCCCATATTTTATTCCACATTGGTGTCTGGTCTCTTATAGACGTGGTGGGATGGCAAAGCCTTTCAAATGGGCTGAACAGCTAGATAGGATCATAGCCTATTCTGCATGAATCCAAGCCATTTCTATCTGGAAAGGGGACAGTTGCTATTTTTATTGTCTAGCCTCAGTAAACCCTAGCAAGCACAAAATAGAGGTCTGCTTTATTAATGGATTTCAAATAGCCTGAACCCCAGCCAATTCTGCCTAAAAATGGATCAGTAGTCATTTCTATTGCATGGCTCTGGCAAGCACAAAATTTAGCAGAGTCAAACGTATAGGGCCGAGGTCAAACTTCATTCCCCAAGAAACCTGCTTGCAAATCCTGTTGCCTTAGGTCATATCTTATCTGCTATTTTAGTCTCTCGCTTAGCAACATATTATTTTTTATAAAGAGAAGAAATGTAACTTCAAGTATTCTTACTTTTCACATTATAGTACAAAAATAAATTCAGCTGTATTGGTATGCAAGAGAAGTGAACTCCCTTGGAGGATGGGTTGTTGTAAGTTTTTTGGGCTGTATGGCCATGTTTCCCAATAATTCCTCTTGGAGGAATTATTGGGAAAGTAAGTGTGGTGGAAATCTTTGAGGGGTAAAGTCTATGGAGAATCTACCCATAGGAATTTATAATTGTTCGATGGCATGAGGGAAGAACCTGTTCAGGCTCAGTGTCCATTGTATGTATGTATCTCTAAAGGCAAACAACAAAAACCTTCTTTTCCAGTTAGAACTATTTTAATCCTGGCTCACATCTTTTCTTCATTATTGCAAGCTCTACTGATATATACATGACTGCTTGTAAGGTGAATTTAAGCAGAATTTTTGCCGACGCATATTGTATACCTGCATCATGGGTTTAGTAGAAGGATTATTGTCTATCCTTGAACAAATCTGTCTTGGGAAAACAGTGGGAACAGACCTGAGCCACCAGAATTGATTGAGATGTTCTCAAGGATTTCCATGGAAGATGGATAGACTCATGGTCTGAGAGATAATAGAGTCAGAGATAGATATCAAGACATCTGTATCATTGTGCATCACCATATATAAGAATTTGGTATGTCAGTAAGTGAATCCATGAGGCTCACTGACTTGCATCAGTGGCGGGAGTATCAAAAACCTTAAAGCAATTCATCAAGAGATAGAAAAGTAAAGTGTTATCCACGCATGGCTCAACATACCCTGCTTACTCCAAAAGTCTGGGCATTGTGCATTTTTTGTTTCATTTCTCCTTGAAAACCTGCGGCACAAATTCTGTCTCATGGCAGCTGCCAGTTAGCCCTCCAACACAATGCAGCTGATGAACTGGTAAGATGGACCATTGAACCATAGTACTTATTTTCATTACACTTGAAGCAGCTGTAGATTGAAGAAGAAAGGGGATGCCAGATGGTATTCAGAAATATGTCTGTGTTGGTGGAACACAGCTTGTTTATTGACTAGTTCTCAAATTGCTTCACAAAGCAAATCCAGTTGTGATCATTATCAGTGCTTTGGAAGTCACTTTTAGTTTCAAGGTATGGGAACTTTTAGTTTGAACTTATTTTTCCAATCATTTTAAAAGCAACTTTTTCAAGTTGGTCAAATGTTGCTTACAATACTTTTCATTACTTTTGTAAACACACCTCAATGCTGCAAGCTACTAGACCAGTGGTTTTCAATCTGTAGGTCCCCAGGTGTTTGGGCCTAAAACTTCCAGAATCCCAGCCAGTTTACTAACTGTTAGGATTTCTGGGAGTTGAAGGCCAAAACGTCTGGGGACCCACAGGTTGAGAACTACTGCACTAGACTATGATACAAAATGCAGTTTCCTCATATCTGTCTCAGTGTCCTCTCAACACTAGCATCAGGCAGTAAGCACAGCATAAGTTAGTACTTGAACTACATGAAATTCCAGGGTGTCTGAAAGACTGAGTCTCTCTAGATGAGTGTGTCCAAGCTCCAGGATCTCTCAAGGAAACCCTTTGTTCAGTCTCACAAACCTCTAGACCAGTGGTTCTCAATCTGGGGTCCCCAGATGTTTTTGGCCTTCAACTCCCAGAAATCCTAATAGCTTGTAAACTGGCTGGGATTTCTGGGAGATGTAGGCCAAAAAATCTAGGTACCCCAGGTTGAGAACCACTGCTCTAGGCACTCTTGGTGGGTACAAGGAAAAGGGCAATTCTTGGTGCCTGCTCTTAGACCTTGAAACTCCCTACGAAGAGAGGCCCTCCTCCTTGGCCTCTTTCCACCACAAAGTGAAAACTTTTTTTGGAATTTACTTCAGGAGGCTTTTAATTATGTTGCTTTTGTAACCTGCCTTTTGCTGAATTTTAAGTGTTTTAATGCTGTGATGTAATTACTACTTAAAATAACTTTAATACATGTGTTACTCATGTTCTACATGTTTTTCAAAAGCTCTGGTTTCAATATTTTGTAAACCAAATTGAATCCCAATATTATTGGGGGAGAGATGAGATACAAATGGATATAATAAAATAATAATGCTCTTCCTTCACTATTTAATGTCAACCCCCCTTATAAATGGAAAGTAACTAGATGTTATAGAAATGCCTCAGAAATAGTAAAATTATCTTTCATTGCATTGTAGCCATAAATAATCAACTACTGTTATTGTGAAAATACATTCTGAAAAACAAATTATAATATGTAACAAAATTTGCAAGATTTTCTGTTCCTGGTTTGAAAGTGTTACTTCCTGTTTAATTGTGTAGTACTTACTTTGAAAGTAGTTGTTATACTCCAGAAACTTAGTTTCTGTGGCTGCCACAAACTATGTTGAATTGGATGAGACTTTATGAAATATTCATTGAAAAATTAAAGCAAAATGTGCTACATGATATCCTGCAAAAATAATGTTTTGCAGTTTAATAAACTTGTTCCATGTTTCTATGATATAACCAATTAGGAAATGACCCTTATAACTCAGGAACAAAAATCGTGTTACATAGTGTTATTTGTAATTAGTTACCAAGGATGTAATTTTTCACTGATTTTGTTAGCAAATGGAGCAGCAAGTAATTTTAGTAGTTCTCTTCCTATTTTGAGAAAATCTACACGATTTTAATACTAGTACCAGTTCCATATGTAAATGGTACATTTGTACAGAAGGCATCATTTCTGTGAAGAAATATTTTATGTGGAGAACATTGAGTTGTGATTTTTTTTTCTGCACAAAATCACTCTTTTTTGCATAGAAAATATTTTCTGTGCAGTTAATGGCATTTTTAAAACAGAAAATAATTTTCCAGCACAGAAAACATGATAGCTTGCAAACAAAGATACTGTTTTCAGGGGTAGGGAGACGTAGACTATGTGCAAATTTTGTGCCAAGCTTTTTAATCTATCCAGGGTTCTTATCAGACCCTTAAGAGACACGCATTACAGTCATTTTTCAAATATTCTCAAATAGTCCTTTCTTTTCTATTAGTTTCCTTCCAAGCTCTGCTCAGTATTGATTAGAATAGTCTTCCCCCCTGTTCCTTGAACTTGACTGTCATTTTAGAAAAAAATTGAACTCCCCAGCAATGCTACTCTCTCAGCACCTGTAACCTGTGGATATTCCTTGGTTTCTGTTCCTGTCTAGGGCTGACAATTCTTCACAGTAAAATAGTTTTGTGATAGTTCTTTGATTCTTTGGAGGTTTCAGTTACGGACATCCTAAGGTTGGCATCTCTTGCTGAGAATGTCTTTTATCATGTGCTCTGGATAACATTTTTAAGCAGGTATTAAAATCTGTAACCTCATTTCATGACAAAGGTGGGAGTGATATCTTATTAGACTTTTAAGACTTCTTAAAAGAGTAAACTTCTAAAGAATACACCTAAGAAGACAACAACACCCCATACGCACCAAAAGACTATCTCAAAACATCGCACATGCAGGGGATGTTTTTCAACCACATTGTCAGAGTAGCAAACCGCAGTGCCTCCTCATTAAACCCAACAAAAAAGTGAAAGAAAGCGTAGCTACAAAGCATGCCCTAAAGTGCGGCCACCAGCTAATCTAGCTTTATGACAACAAAAGTCTTTGACTGATGAGAAAGTGTCCTCTGAAGAAGGTCAACTTTCCTTGATCCAAATTAGTCATTCAGGCTCATAGAGCGGGTGGGGGGGGGGAGATGAGTTTGACTTCCTGAGACATAAGCCACAATAGTATGAAACTATCAAGATTCTGAAACTTTTTGTGGTTGATGTAATGATTAAGTGACCATTCAAAATTTTTGAAATGTCACATTAGCTGCGGTGGGCAGCTCCTCATAGAGCAGGCAGCAGAGTGTGAAGTGTGATTGAAGCAACCAAAAGCTGGGTGTGAAAAAGAACAATTAAAGTCAAAAATAGTCTGCAGTTGCTAAAATTTGACCACAGTATTGCAACGTATCAGTAATATCTATCTATATATCTATCTGTCTATCTATCTATCTGCATGTGCATATGAGGGGACAAGGAGAATCAGGGAGGGGATAATAAAGAAAACCAAATCAATACCAGCATATTCATTCTCTGTTACGGGTTGTTTTTTAAAAAGTGAATCCTCCTTATCAAATATTATCAAAAGTCTTTGGCCATGAATATTTTCCCAAAAAAGTTCTATTCAATCAATAATCAAAATCCAGCAGCTATCTTAGCAAGGTGGTAAAGCCTTTCTGTGTAGGCACTCAATCATCACCTTCATTTGAGAGTGCAGTACTGCACTATATAAGGGAAGAGTCTTCTTTTTTCATGGAACAGGCCTACCTTGTTATCACATTTTTATGAGGGAGATCAAATACCCCATGAGACATCCTTCTTAAAAACCTGTCCTCAGAGTATCTTGTTAGAAAGCTGAACAGTGAATTTTCTTTAACTTTACAGGAAACCATTGTCAAGGTGGTCAGCTTCGTGTCACTGAAAGACGACACTTAGAAGGTTCAAAGGTCTGCCTATTACATTTTTTAAAGGACCCGATCTAAATCTGGAAGCTACCCTGGCATGGCAATGCAGACTTCGTGCAGAATGCACACTTCAAAGAAGTGGCTTGGACCGAATATATCCTTAAGTTTTTACCTAATGATGAACCTTGTTACTATTGTATTATCTGGAAGCACCAGACCACCCAGCAAAAGCCAAGGTGACAGTCCTTCAGACAACATGCTTCTACATCAGCGAATGAAGAGGAGCTGGGTATGGAACCAGTTCTTTGTTTTGGAAGAATATACAGGAACTGACCCTTTGTACGTGGGAAAGGTAAGTGGCACAACTTCAGATAGGATATCAGTGTTGTTAGCTTAAAGAAAATGATATACAAAATGAAGAAAACATGTTATTTCCTATTCCTATATCATATGTGTATGGACTTTCGAGTCTCCTGGTGACTTCCAGTGATTCCATGAATTTCATTGAAATTTTATAGGCAAGAAACACTGAGAAACACTATCTTACCTGATAGTTATTGGTGCTCTCCCATTAAACTACTAACCAGAGCTACTTAGCTAACCAAGATCTGTTGCTATTAGGATTTCTATGTTATCATTTATATAAACAGCCTTGAAAAATACATTAGGTTCTCCAATTTACTTCCTCCTAAGACAGTGGTTCTCAACCTGTGGGTCCCAGATGTTTTGGTCTTCACCTCTCAGAAATCCTAACAGCTGGTAAACTGGCTGGGATTTCTGGGAGTTGTAGGCCAAAACACCTGGGGATCCACAGGTTGAGAACCGCAGTCCTAAGGTTTAAATTTTGATAGTTAGATGAGACAAAGGTAACCCAATAGATTTAGTCCTACATATGTAGGCTTAGTTCATAGTGCATGTTAAGGAGTTAAACTAAAGCGTTCATAAAGAAGACTTTGATCAAAATGTTATTATTATTAATATTATTATTATATTAATAATATTAATAATAACAATAATTTGTATCCTACTTCCCCCAAAATTAGGATTCAATGCAGCTCACAAATTACAAGAACAAGAGAATTAAAAGCATACAAAAAGTGAACATCAAAATAGAATTACATTATTCACAGCATTATAACAATTCAAGTTAAAGAACAAAATGCATTTTGAAAAGATACAAAGCTATTTAAAACAGCTCAATTAAAAAAATCACTCCCCTCAGTCTGTTCTTTTCAAACATTCTGTTTTGCAAGACTGTCAGAATAAAAAAGATTGTAGCCTGCCGATGGAAGGACAACAAGGAGTACGATGTTAAAAATAACAGCCATGTGTTACAAAAGGGCAAAGGCATTTCTTTCTAAAGTAATACAGTGTCTGCCAACATTACTTTTTTTCCATCAGTTTGGTACATTTGCTCAGTACTTTTATTTTTTCCTTGTGTTCATTTTTTTTGACAGACTAGTCTTTTGGATTTATAGATCCCACACCCCAACCCCAATTGTATGCAAAATTCTTACCATGTTAAATGGACGTTTAAAAAAAGAAACTAAAAAACAACAGAAATAGTGAATACTGTCAAGGGCAATTGAATTATTTCTTTTCTCAACTGCTATAGAGAATAGCATTGCTCTGGTTTTGTGGCGTGAGTGAAAAGGAGGAGGGAAGTGGTAACCCACAAGTTTTCTGCTGTGCTCTTCTTCTGGCATTTGTGGACATCTAATTTATTTCAGTTCCTGAAAATGCCAGACTAGTGTCACCTTGTGCTGTGAGTGATGCTGGTTTTGAGAGCCTGACAATAATTTGCCTCCCCACCCCCCAAAAAATCAGTGCTAACAATCACACCATGTAACAAAATTTGGGGGGAAAATATCTACTCCAGAAACTTTGTTTTTGTGGCTGCCACAAACTATAATGAATTGGTTGAGCCTCAATGAGATATTCATTCAAAAACTATAGCAAACATGTGCTGCAGGATATCCCGCAAAAAAATTTTTTTGCAGTTTAATAAACTTTTTCCATAATTGTATAGTAGTAACAATTAGGAAATGACATTTATAAACCAGGAACGAAAATTGTGTTAGATAGTGTTATCAACATAATTGGTGATGCTGTTCTAGTCTTCATAGGAACAGCTTCACTGTTGGAGCACAGACTGTTTATATTGATACGAAAGGACCTAGATCAAGGGAGAGATTGTGATGGCACTAGTATCAGTAGCCAAATAATGAGCATGAGTGGGTTTTTAGAACCAGGTTCCTTCTTTAAACCTTCCTTAAATTGTATCAGGTATCTCCAAGGGTGGGTCTACACCTGGCATGGGCAAACTAAGTCCTGGGGACCGGATGCAGGTCTCAGGGTGCTTACCTCAGGCCATCCTCATTTACTATGTACTTTTGGCATAAGGACACAGTGGCCTGCAGCAGCTGAGAGCCCTCTGGAGCACTCTCAGCCACCGCATGTCTCACTGTCCTAGCAGCATAAGGATGGTGCAAGCGGCCCCATCCTTATGCCGGGAGGACAGCTCAAGGAAGGCACATGGTAACTGAGAGCACTCTCAGTCACCACCTGTCTTGCTTCCTCCTGACATAATGTCAAGAGGATAGCCTGAGGATCAGGGGAGAAAGATTGCGGCAGTCGCCATGTGTCCTGCCTTCCTCCTGGCCTAAGGATGGGGCAAGCAGCCCCATCCTTATGCTGGGAAGACAACCTGAGGAAGACCCAGGCCCTACCCTGGCCCCTCCTGGACCCACTATCTCCAAGGCCCTACCCCTCACAGGCCCACCTCACCCAGTGTGCAAACTCGCCCCACTCCCTCTCATCCCGGCCCTCCCAGCTGGGCTTACAATGTGGCCCCAAGGCAAAAATGTTTGCTCATGGTTGATCTACACTGTAGAATTAAGACAGTTTGATTCCACCCCACCCCCCCTCCCCCCACACACACACACTTTGACTGTTGTTCAGTGCCATGGTATCATGGAGGCTGTAGTTTAATGGGGTACCAGCATGCTTTAGCAGTGAAGATGAAAGGCCTTGTATAAGTACAACTCTTTTTATTTCCAGAGCATTAAGCCATGGCAGTTAAAGTGGTATCAAACTACATTAATTCTACAGTGTAGATGCATTCCAAGAGTAAGCAGAAATCTATAACAGATTTTTCCCTCTGTCCTTCTATAATTTTTTATCCAAACATATTGTTTTTTATATACCTTTTAGATATAATATACAGTGAAACACAGCAGAACTAAAGATATGCTTATCTTGTTACTAGTTGTTCTGTCTGGGACCAGTTCCATTCAACATCTTGATCAATGACTTGGATGATGGTATAGAAGACGTGCTTGTCAAATTTGCAGCTGACACCAAATTGGGAGGGACAGCTAATGCCCCAGAGGATAGGATCAGAATTCAAAATGATCTTAACAGATTAGAGATCTGGGCCAAAACTAACAAAATGAATTTCAACAGTGAGAAATGTACAGGGTGTTTTTTGTTTGTTTGTTTACATTAAAGCTTTTAAAAACTGTTTTACATCTTTATTTCCATTTTGATATGGTTCTCTATTTAGAAGACCTTTAAACTAGTTTTCATTCATTGGAATTTCCACTGGGCCTATCCTTTTCGAATGTTACTGGTTTCTTGATTGAGAGGTTTGTTTTGGTAAAGGTAAACCCATACAAGAGCAATTTACTTGAAAAATTACATTGACTGTGTTCTAGTCCAGATGTCTTTTTCTTGCATATACAGTAGAGTCTCGCTTACCAACATAAATGGGCCGGCAGAACATTGGATAAGCAAAAATGTTGGATAATAAAGAGGGATTAAGAAAAAGCCTAGTAAACATCAAATTATGTTATGGTTTTACAAATTAAGCACCAAAACAACCGCTTTGAGTCCCCCCAGGGGTGAGAAAGGCAGTATATAAATACTGTAAATAAATAAATAAATATTTTACAACAAATCAACAGAAAATGCAGTTCAGTACACAGTAACATTACATAGTAATTACTGTATTTACAAATTTCGCACCAAAACAGACAAGGGTTCTTTCTTTCTCCCACCCTGGACATTATTCCAGGCAGAAGGCAGACTGTGTGGGTAATAGAGAACGTTGGATGATCGAAGGTTGGATAAGCGAGATTCTACTGCATATTGCATTTTATGTGTACGTTAAAAAAACAAAAATATTGTTCTGACGAGAAAAAAAGCAAGAAACTGCCAATTGCATGGAAACAATGTAAAGATCTCCAGTAGTACAAGAAAAATAGTGATGGAGACTAACAAGTTTTGGAGTTTCTCCTTATGTGTATTCTTCAAAAAGTTCCTATGAAAGCATAGTCAATTTTCAGATTTTTTCATGGATTTACATAGAGAATTGCCCTGGTTAGTTATATGAGAATTAGCTTACACAGTGTGTAGGTTGAAACCAGAGCTTTGGGGGGTTTTCCCCCCCTAGAGAGGTTATTTTACTCAGTAAATTCTCACATTAATGCAAAAGTTTTCTTTAATGCATTAGATAATTTGTGACTCATTAGAATGCAAAGTAGTACATAATTCTTTTTCTGGAAAATTCAGAAGGAGAAGAGAACCTGAAGAGAAAATTAGAATTGGAGGGAATGTATCACATGCATTGGTTGCTCGCCAGGCTGCTCTGATGTTTTAGAACAGTGGTTTCAACCTGTGGATCCCCAGATGTTTTGGCCTTCAACTCCCAGAAATCCTAACAGCTGGTAAACTGGCTGGGATTTCTGGGAGTTGAAGGCCAAAACACCTGGGCACCCACAGGTTGAGAACCACTGTTTTAGAAAATGAGATAGAAAAGGTTCTGAAAAAGCAGCAAAGGAACAAGTAGGTAGAAAAAGGTGTACTAGTTTACAAAGTTATCAAGCGACAATAGTCCTAAGAGTCTATCTACTCTGTGGAATTAATGCAGCTTGAACCCAAGGTTACTGCCATGATGCAATGCTATGAAATCATGGAAAATGTATTTTCACAAGGTCTTTAGCCTTCTCTGCCAAAGAGCATTAGTGCTTAACCTAACTACAAATCCAGGGATTCCACAAACTGAGCCATGCCAACCCTTAATTCTACCATGTAGTTAATTGAGCAAAACCTATGATGTACCAGTGGGGGTTTTTTGGGGGGTTTTTTTTGTTTGGTTTTTTTTTTTTTTGTTTTTGGGGTTTTTTGCAGAGCATGCTTCTTGATATGGAGTTGGAGGGCAGAGAGCATGTAGTGGTTCAAATTTTGGGAAATGGCATTTATAACATTTTGGAAAACACCATTTGGAGATCATAACTTTTTAGAAAAGCAAGACCTTTCAGAGAAGAGCCAAAAACCCTTTAGAGTGGAATC